TTTGGCGTACATCACTGAGATGTGGTTGGATGAACTGGGTGGGATAAATCTCACCCAGCTCTGTCCACCGGGTTTCGGGGTGCATCAGCAGGCTAGGTCTGGGGCATGGGGAGGAGGGATCGCGGTAGTCTTTCAGCAGTCCATTGCCCTGATCAGATGCACCATTCTGCAATTGTCAAGGTTTGAGTGTGTCTACTTGAAGATGGGAGCTCGAGACAGCCTGGGGATCCTGCTGGTGTACTGTCCACCCCGCGACCCAGCAGTTTTCCTGTCTGAGCTAGCAGAAGTGGTCTCAAATTTGGCCTTGGGCTCCTAACAACTCATAGTTTGGGGAGACTTTAACATCCATGCCGAGACCACATTGACAGGTGCAGCTGAGGATTTTATGGTTGCCATGGCAACCATGGGACTGACTCAGGTAATATCTGGCCCCACATATCCGGCAGGTCACACGTTAGACCTTGTTTTTATTGTGGATGGTGGGACGGTCAGAGTGGAAGAGCAAAACATTCTTCCATTGTCATGGTCTGACCACCATCTGATCTGTTTAAGATTTGCCATGTCCTCTAACCTCCGCAGGAGACTTATGGATCCTGATGGACTCCGGAGGACTCTTGGGGATCTTCCTGCCCTTGAGACTGATGATCCTGCTGACGCCCTGGTTGATCGCTATACAGCGAGTTGGCCAGGGCGATTGACACGATCGCTCCCAAACATTCCCTCTCATTGCGCAGAGTCACACCAACTCCTTGGTTCACCGAGGAGCTGGCTGTGAAGAAGTGCTGGAGGAGGGGTCTAGAGTACATCTGGAGGAAATCTCGCGACGTATCTGACCAAGCACGGGTCAAAGTCACTATTAGGGTGTATTCCGCAGCTTTGCAAGCAGCCAAGAAAGCATTCTTGACTGCTCGCATAGTGTCTGCAGCAGATAGACCTTCGGAGTTGTTCCGAGTTGTTGGGGAGCTCCTTCGGCCTCCGGAGGTCAGGGGCTCTCTGACAACTCGGCAACTTGGTGCAGCGATTTTGCGCAGCACTTTGCAGGCAAAGTTGCTCAGATACGTCTTGAGCTGGACTCCAGTTTAAACGCAGTCCCAGATGAGGTAATCGAGGCACCTGTCTGTTCCACCTTATGGGATTCTTTTCATCTTGTTCTTCCTGATGATGTGGAGGGGATCCTTGGGACTGTGGGGGCAACCACTTGTGCTCTGGATCCTTGCCCATCCTGGCTAGTTAAGCTGGCCAGAGAGGGGTTGTTGGAATGGTTTGTTGCGATAATAAATGCTTCATTGGGCCAGGGGAAATTCCCATCTTGCCTTAAGCAGGCGGCGGTAAAACCTCTATTAAAGAAGACCTCCCTTAACCCGATGTCATATGTTCTGCAGTTAATGGTGCTTGGTGATGGAAGGGTTAATGTATTAGTTCTAGAGGGTTTGGTAATTTGTAAGTGGGAGTTCATGGGTGAAAGCAATTAGGGGTGGAGGTGTGCAGCTGGGTGTTACTGGATTTAAGGAGCTAACCATGAGACTGATCTTTGGGAGAAAAGTATCTCTTTTTGGGCTGTATGGCCATGTTCAAAAGCATTCTCTACTGATGTTTCACCTGCTGGTTTCCCCCCCAGGTCTGTTGGATTTTTCTGTTTTTTCCCCCAGGTCTGTTGGTTTCCTGCTGGTTTTCCCCCCAGTTCTGTTGGATTTTTCGGTATCCTGACCTGCCTCCTGTAATATTGGAACCCTGGAAGCTTGGACTGACTTTTGACTACGGTATAGACTCTTGATCCCTGGACTCTGTTACTGAACTCTTGGCGTTTAACCACTGGACTGGACCCTTTTGACTACGGAGTTGCTTTTGCTATCAGTTTTTGTTTATTCTGTGACTGATTGTTATCTTTATGTTTTATATTTTGGTTTATTAAAACAGCCAGCAAGTCAGTGCTGTTTTAATTAAACTGTTTGATAAAACTGGGAGTTTGGTTCATCTCTACCTAAATAAGGCAGAGCCCTGGCAACGTGACACTATCCCTCAACATTTGCCCTTAGAGTATACCTCCTACGAAGACCCTTCTTGACCTCACTTTTGAAGAGTTTCTCCTTCACAAATAATCTGCTCCATTCCTATCTCACCCTGTGTTTTTAGTTTTTAGCTTTAGTATGTTCTGTACACGCGGCCCACTTACTGTCACTGTCACAATAATTGTGTTATGATTGATTTTAATTTTATGTTGTTTGCTGTATTTTTATGTTTCATGTAATTTATTTGACTTTGTTTATTGTATTGTGTTGTTGGACTTGGCCTCATGTAAGCCGCCCCGAGTCCCCATCGGGGAGATGGTGGCAGGGTATAAATAAAGTTTATTATTATTACTATTATTATTACAAAAACATTGGAACTTCATTTGGATAAAGATGGAAGTGTGACTAGAAAGATCACAGTACATAATAGAAACTAAAATAAAATGGGGGAAACAATACAATACAAAACAAAAACCTTCAAGCTAAAATTGAAGGTTTGGAACAGTACAAAACAAAAACCTTCAAGCTAAAATTGGAAATAGCAGCTTTTACTATTAATACTATTGTATAATTGGGGTACTCATATTAAGTATTGGAAGAACACTGGTATTTGAAACATGCTGGATATTGTGAAAAGTTTCAAAATATTTTTATATAAGCTGTCTTCTTGTATCAAAATCGATTAAGAGAGCTTTACTGTGAAGAGTAACATTAGCTTGAGATATAATTTAAAATATTACAAATTCCCTTCATTCAAAACTATTATTTCATACAAAAGATAATATCATTTTTGGACATTCTGGTTCTTTTATGCAATACAGTTAGTCTACAATCAGAATGCACCCCTATGCCAACCCTAAATAATTGCAGCAGCTTCTCAAGTCAAATGTCAAAAAGGGTTGTTGTAGATTTTTCGGGCTGTCAGGCTCTGAGGATGCCTGCCATAGATGCAGGCGAAACATCAGGAGAGAATGCTTCTAGAACATGGCCATACAGCCCGAAAAACCTACAACAACCCAGTGATTTCAATCATGAAAGCCTTCATCAATACAAATGTCAAAGGTTCTCCAGTTGAGCCTTTTCAAAATATTACAAAATATCTTAGCTATTTTGTTTCAAGTTTCATTTTAAGCAACTCCAGAAAATGCACATTTTACATCATAATGGGATTTTATGAATCATAGAGTCATGTTTCACATGTCTAGGCGAGTTCAAGTAATTGGAGTTTCTGTTGCAATTACTCAAGAATAAATGGTGCTTGGAAGTATCTTCCACATAATGGGAAAAATCTATTACTCATGTTATACTGAAATGGGATCTAACTAGTGCTAACCTATGATAGACTATGTGTCTTGGTTGTAATCCAGCTACATATTTTGACAAGTAGAAGGCTATTGTATAAATTTTCCTAGATTGGAAAACTCAATCCAAGGGCACATCTACATTGACCAATGTGGGACATGTGGGATAAAAGCTGCAGAGGAGGAAGTGTATCACATATCCAGTGCATGAACCGGGTTGAGGCCTGGGTGGTATTTATATGTGCCAGAGAAATTTGACTCCAATGTAGTTCCAGTATCCACAGTATCCACAGCACCATGGTTATGGAGGATTCAGGTTTTTCAAAGCCCCCCACCTGAATGTGCATGTGCAGATCATAGGAGCTCCCATCCCTTAATCAGTTTCACCATGCAATATGGTTTACACCTACACTCACTGATACACATTACATTCCCCCCTTCCCACTTTTAGTATTCCATGATTTTGTGGGCTGTATTTCAGAGGTTCAAGGCCTCCAATGTGCGTTCCTGTGCACATTTGTGCTGTGCATCATTAAAAGATTGCATTTTGGATGCTTTCAATCCATATTAAGTGGTCAATGTAGATGTGCCCCAAGAGCAAGGTCACCTTTCTCTGTGTGCATATGTACCTTGATGTTACCTGATAAGTCATGGTGACACCATTAATTTCATAGAGTGTTCTGGGACAGGGAAAAGTCAGAGGTGGTTGTGCCAGTTATTCCAACATACATATAGCCAACACTCCTCAAATTCTTTGGGAGTTTTCCATCCAAGTACTAACCAGGGCTGATCCTGTTTACCTACCAAGATGAGAAGGCCTTCGGTACCTTTAGGATATTTAGGATATGGGTTCACATCTACACTGTGGAATTGATGTAATTTGACATCACTTCAACTATCATAGCTTAATACTGTGGACTCACGGGAGTTGAAGTTTGAAGAAGCACCAGCACTCTTGGGCAGAGTAGGCAAAATACTTTGCAAAACTACAACTCCCATGGACTCATAGCATTGAGCTATGTCAGTTAAAGTGCTGTAAAACTGCATTCATTCTGCAGTGCAGATGCATCTGAAGTCTTCTATATTCCTGCGTAATATTAGCACCAATCATTTGGAGGCATAGTGAGAAGTGGATTTAGTGGCCAGCCTGTTTCCTACTCCCAAATACAGTGAACCCACTGTATTAGAGAGACTTTCATGTTGACTTACAATTCAGCAATTAACTCTCTGGGTTCACTCTAGTTCTGGACAGCACTTGGATTTAGCTCAGTGTTTACTCCTCCCGAAGCATGCAGAGGGATTTCCACTTTGGAGTAAAATTGAACTATGTGTGTTGCTGTTACTTGTTGCACACCTAAAGGTAAAAATATGGAGGCCTGTTTCTGCATGCATGGTTGTAGCTGGATTGTGGTGCAAAGGCTGCCATTCCAATCTTTGTATGCTTTCAAAAATATGTAGATGTACTAGTTGCTCGAGAATGCAATCAATACAGATGTACATGTGGTGCAGATAGTATCTATCTGAAACATATGATGTGTTTGTGATCTGCATTTCCGATTATATGAACAACACATGTTGCAAATAAATACTGTCTGTGCCATGTGTACATCTGTGATGGTTCTATACGTTCAGAAGTTTGGTTATACAGACCGATGCCCTTATTTTGCTTAGGAAATGTGGCACAACATCATGCTAATGTTCCTGAATATATTTATCACTGACATAAAAAAGCAAATATGGGATAGGAAACAAAGTTCAGTGTAAAGGTATAACAGAGAAATAATTTTATCTCATGAATTTAAACTATTCTGTACAACACAACACAATACACATCCACTCTAATAAATAGAATTTGGAATTGTAAACTGTCATTTAAGAAGAACTTGCTTAACACTTTGTCATTCTAAAATACAAGACTGACTTTGTGTAAATAAACTTTCAAATATATATTTGTATACACACGTTTCTTACCAAATATCTTGTAACAAAATAAATATTTATGTAAAAATTAAAAAAACATTGTATAAGCATAAGAATTTTGACATTTGCAATGTGCAAAGTATGCAGTCCTGCTTTGTAAGTGCAACCGAGAGCCCGAAAGAGCATTATATTATTCCTTCTTGATTTAAGTGTGTATCAAAGATATACAGTCTGGACCTCCTTTAGGCTTATAGTTTTCCTCCGGGGATTGTTTAAGCTGCTGTTCTGCATTGCTCAATTGCTTCTTGCATTCATTAGCAATATGTTTTGACTCCTCAGAGAGGACAATTATCTTGTTGTAGACGTGCTCTTCTTCTTGTGAGTGAGGCATAAGAAACTGTGAACCATATGAAGGTTTGCTTAAAAACTGTGGGGAGAGACAAAGAAATAACTGTCTAGCCATTCTCTTGAAAAAGGGGAAGACATATTCTAGCCAGAGATACAAATATTCTGTTGACTGTACCCAAGAAGTCAAAGTTGGAAACAACGGGCTAATGGCCCATTAGAATTTCAAATTTTGACACAAGAAACCTATTTATGCTTCGCCAAGATAATGACATTTTCAATTGTACCAGCTTGCAATTATTATGTTACACAAAATGAGGTAAAGTAACCCACTCATCCTAGTTTTCCATTGCCCCATTTTTAAATGGGAGAACTGACCTTGAACTGAACAAGACCCACATTTGTTTGCATTTTTGAAGTAGTAGATGGATTATAACTGATTATAAGGATCCAAGTCATATATTATTTGGAAAGTATCAGTTGCATTTACTTATTAGGACTGTAACAGTCAGGAATACTACTGGCTATTATTTTTCAAAACTTAACTTGCTGTATTTCTTCAATTTTGAGACACCCCCCCCCCCAATATAAACATATAAACATATCTTTAAAAATGCAGAATCACATGTGTCCTCCGTCCCTCCCTCCCTCCCTCCCTCCCTCCCTAGACAGATAGACAGATAGACAGATAGACAGATAGACAGATAGACAGATAGATAGATAGATAGATAGATAGATAGATAGATAGATAGATAGATAGATAGATATAGATAGATAGATTGATTGATTGATTGATTCTGTTGGTGGTACTGAATTGAATGCACATCTTATAACTGATGGCGTCTTAGAATCAAAGGAGTAAAGTAGTTTCAGAAACACAGCAAACAGTGTTCATATAAAGTACATGTCATAATTTAGGGATCAATAATAGCATTTTGTAAGGTTAGGGAGGCAAAAAGTACAAAAGAACAAACCTCTTTAAAATGTTGTGGCAAAGAATATGAAGGAAAAAAGACATACTTGATCCGTCGATAAATGTAAAAAATTATAAGGGAGAAGAAAGGAAATGATATCAACACTAGCAGTATGGCAACAGTCAGTAATCCTGGATGTAAATCTATAAGAGAAAGAGATAAACTTAAAACTGTTGTATTCAATATATTGTGGCCACAGTAGACTAGAGTCACACTGGACTAACTAGAGATTCATAGAGAGGTGTTCTCTCTCTCAAGGAAAATCGTGCTTTCAAAAAATGTTATGGAAACTCCTAGCATTATGTCCCAATGCACTTTATCAGACATCCAGGATATCTGCATGCCCATCCCCCTCCAAACACCCCACCTTGTTATGCCCAGCACTTTTTAATTTTAATTATTACATTTGGCCCAGCCATTGTTTTTAATTGCGTCATTAGATGTTGTTAATGTTATTGCTTTGTTTTTTGTTTTTTGAATTATTGTGTTGTTGTTGCTGCTGCTGTTTTTATTGTTGTATTTGGGCTCAGCCTCTTGTAAGCCGCACCGAAGTCCTTCGGGAGATGGTAGCGGGGTACAAATAAAGGTTTATTATTATTATTATTATTATTATTATTATTATTATTATTATTATTATTATATTATGATTATAACTTGAATGAATGAATAAATCTTTTTATGTTCTGCCATGGGAGAGGGCTTTCTCCTCTGTAGTATCCCAGTTATACCTCTGCTCAAAGGCTTTGCTGGAGGTTGTAAATGTAGATAAACAGAAGCTTTACCACTGTTTCTGAACCAAAATATACCTTGCAGTATAATAATGTGCCACTCAGATTTGTGTAATGAGCAACAGTAATTTTACTTCAGCTCAAAAGGTCAAACAGAGTAACAATATATACAGCAGTCTCTCTGAATTCTTACAGAGAACAGAGAAAATAAAATAGTCCTTTTAAACAGTCTTAAAATATGCTTCATGCCTTAAAAATGATCAGGCTTCAGAGAGTTGGCAGCCATTTTCTTCCTGAATGTTTCCAGTGAGTGCTCCCTTCACTCTCTGAGATGAAAATGGCAGTTAAAACCGTTTCTCTCAGTAGCAAGATAGAGACAGTAGCCAATCAGAATTCTCCCTCCTGGCATGCTCAGACAATCAGCTGCCGACACATGCCTTTCCAGTCAACCCATTACATCATGGTGCCTTTTTACAAATCCCCACAGGCTTGGTTGGTCTTCAGACTGGCTTCATAGCAGCATCATAGCAGCATTACTTGAAATCCACTGGTACAAAGTTTTAATTGGCTTTTGTTTGTTTTAACAGTCAAAATGTGTAATATCCTTTAAGACTGTTTAAATTATTGCTTATTTTAAAACATTTTCAAATTGTTACAAATTGTTTGAAAGTGATTGTATTTTTATGGGATCTTGTTTTATAGGGATACAAATATTTCAGTATAAATAAATAAATATACATAATAATCTCCTGTTCTCTTACTTGACAGTAACTGACAACGATATTAATTATGAATGAACATGCACAGGATTGTGATTTCTATAATGGTTCTTATAAAACTGATTTCATAAGCATTGAATCAGATCAGGAAGAGGACAAAAAGAATACCAACTGTTAATAATGTCCCTTCCAAACAAGCATTAAATCCCAAAATATTACCTATGCCAGTTGTATTGGTACAAATGGGTTCACTCCATTGTCCATCTTTATTCAACTCCTCAATAACTGCTTGAGCCTTGAGGCAATATGTTGTCATAGGATCCAAGTCATGTATTACTTGGAAAGTGTCAGTTGTGTTTACTTCTAGAACCTAGAAGGAAAGCATATGAAGTCGCAACAATTAACTGTCAAATAAAAAAAAAAACACTTCACAGTGCAATGCTATTCTTGACTTATTCTGGTTAGACGAGGGCAGGACTGTGAGTAAATCCAGATGTGTTGATGAAGTCTCAAGTATGTCAGCACTATCATTCCATGCTGTTGAATCATCATGACAACAGTGGTGACACAAAGCTTTCTGGCATCTGCACTGTAAGCCAAGGAATTGTTCTGTTTGAAGGAGGGCATCTTTCTTCCTTGTTCTCTTTTGCTGCTGTTCTAGACTTAAGGAACTCAAGAGTTTCTTAAGTCTAGAACAGCCACTAGTACTATAAGCATTATCTCCTCAAAAGCTCCTTCTGTCCTTGAGACACCTCCAACGTGTTGTCTTCATTGTTAACTATCATCATGTGAACTTTAACTTATGGTGACTCTATGAAAAAGGGAGCAAGTTATACTCTCAAGACTTACAGAGTCAGGGTTGGGGCTTTCATGATTGAATCTATTCATCTATAATGTGATCTTCCTCTTTTGCTATCACTTTTACCTTACTGAACATTTATCTTTTCTCATGCACATTTATTTATATTTTCAACAGGCGGCAATATCTGTTGAACTTTTCTGTAACATTACATTTCACAACTTGATGGTCTTCCTATCAGCTTTCTTCACTTTCCAGCGTTCACAACCACACATAGAAACTGACAATACAGAGGCATGGACCATTCTAACTTTAGTATTCAATTATTTATCTTTATTTATTTATAGTGTTGCTACCCCACCTTTGAATTGCAGACTCAAGGCAGCTTACAACATGAAAACACACAAATTCCAACAGTTAAAATGGATAAAACAACAATAAAATGAGATCATAATAAAAACATACAACAATCAAACAAGTAAAATTCTCCTCCATAACTATCTCCACTGGCAATCTGTTATTTACAAGCTAAAATTCCTGAGACTCCCACCATGTGTCACTCAAAGGCTTTCTTAAATAGGAGGGTCTTGACCCCTTTCATAAAACTAAGTAGGGATGGTGCTGCCCTTAATTCCTCTGGGAGAGCGTTCCAGAGAGAAGGTGCTGCACTTTCTCTCATGATGTGGAGACACATACTAATGGGAGCACGACTGGCAATGAGTGTTTCCCCACTGAATCTGAACTTTACACTTCAGGATCTTGCTTAGATCTTTAAGAGCTGCCCTTCCAAGTTCTACTTCTGATTTCTTGACTGTGGGATGACCTGCCAGAAGAGATCCGACTATGAATTGTAAATTTACATTATATTGTGTTCTCTTTTAACCTTTATACTGTGTATTTTAAGATATTTTTAATGTATTTTTGGTATTGTGTTATAACTGTATTGTACCCCACTTTGAGCCATGAAGAGAGGTGAGTAACAAAAAAATATTATTGTTACTGATTGCAGACTCCATGCTGATTAATAACTGAGCCAAAGTATGGAAAATCTTTGCTTTTCTTTTCTTCCTGTTCAGCTGTAAACCTGAATTTCCACTTTCTTCCTTGACTTTCTCCAGTAATTGTCCCAAGTCTTTGCTATTTGCTTCTAATAGTATAGTGTCATCTGCATACCTTCAAATGCTAATGTTCTTTCTTTCAATTTTCACACTTCCTTCCTCTGAGTCTAATCCTGCTTTAGGTATGATATACTGAGTTAAACAAATAGGGTTATTTATTTGTTTGTTTGTTTGTTTCTATTTGTATACCGCCTTTCTCAGCCCGTGGCCTTGCCTGAGCCCCTTGCTAACTGGAAATCATTTATCTGTCACAAGCGTAGTCTCTTGATTGAATAGAGTTTATGCATCAGGACAATCAAATATTGTGGCACACCCATTTCTTTAAGGGTGATCCATAGCTTTTCATGACCGACATAATCAAAGACTTTGCTATAATTTCTGAAGCACAGGCTGATTTCCTTCTGAAATTCTTTTCCATTCTCTATTATCCAACATGTTTGCACATCTGTCTACTATCAATTAATTTTCTTTTGTCCATACTTGCTAGGTCTTGAGCCTCTCTCTTCATCTAAATCACAAATCTGTGTCCGGAAGCTTGGTGGAACCAGCAGCTTCTATTATGTGCCATAGGAGATCTCATTTGGTTGGTTCCAGACTGAAACTTGCTAGAATCTATAGGGATCTGGTTGTTGTAACTATCTTGTAATAAGGTAACTGTTAGTCTTTCAGAAATCAGAATATTCCTATACTTCCTAACAGGAAAAAGTATAGTTAAACACCAAAAGAAGCAGTTACAAATCTCCAAATGCCAGCAAACATTACCTGTTCAGTACTGTGATATTTTTTCCAGATTCTAATCCTGTAAATCACAGAAGCATAGAACTCCTTCAAGGAAAGGTTTCCAGCATTGCGTGTAAATCTAGGTTCTATGAGCTGTACATTCAGGACTCCAGGTTTTGTGGCTTCAACTTGTATAGCAGGTGGCCCAATATGTGCTAAAAGACAAGGGGAAAAACAACAGGCCTCTTTTTGTTACTCTGTTCTTGGATCCATTTAGATACAGTACAATATTTGTATCCTTGAGGCTACATTCTAAGATGTGGTAGCCTGAAACCATAAATAACAGTGAACACTATATCTTGACTATACTTGGACCAGAAGCATACCATAGAATTGCACTGGAGGACTTAGGGAGGCCTACAAACACCTCGGGTAGTGGGCAAGGGGTGTTATTTGGCTCGTAGGTAAATGAAACCATGGATAGCAAATCTATGGACAAGGGAGTTGCAAGGCTTTAGCACAGCAGGCTAACCACCAAGCTGCAGTAAATCTTGCCAACCGAAAGGTTGACAGTTCAAAGCCTGGGTCAGGGTGAGTGTCTGACCATTCAGCCCAGCTCGCTGCCTACCTAGCAGATTGAAAACAGTGATGTGAGTAGATAAATAGGTACTGCGTTAAAACCAAGGATGTATAAGGCACCCAGGAAATGCCGGCAATCAAAAAGAAAGAAAGAAAGAAAAAGAGAAAAAAGGAGGAAATTTACAAGCTCTTACCCTAACCCCTCCCACATCACCAGAACCAAACACAGCCTCCAAGAAGCCGAACTTGAGAAAGCCTATATGCCTCTATCTGTCCTGTCACTGTATAATTGTACAATTGAATGTTTGCCGTACATGTGTTCTGTGATCCGGTTTGAGTCCCCTTCGGGGTGAGAAGGGCAGAATAGAAATACTGCAAATAAATAAATAAACAAAAAACAAAAACCAAATAGTGCATATAGCATACTACATCATCTGCTTTTTCGTTCACATAAGGGACTGCAAACATCTTGAATGTCAGCTTATAGAATAATTTGTTTTTCAAAGCAGTCCAAGGAATACAATTGCAAATGAACAAAAAAACCCCTGAAATTATAGAAACGAGCCCAACAAAGAGAAGGGCCTTTTGAAGTTGTAGAAGAAATGAAACAGAATAAAAGTGAGTCAATTGGATCAAAGGGCATTAAGGAGAAACGTTCATGTTCCATGAGGAATACTATCGGCTTACTAATAAGCAATAATAACAATTATTTAAAACCATTGGTATAACTGGGAAAACTCCTTTTGTCTTTTTGAACCCATACATTTTCCTTCCTTAGTTTAGTGCAATATTTACTATAATAGGACTCTGCATTTCATATCTGGTTTGCCTTTGACTATAAAATATGCGATGTTCAATATTTGCTACAAGATGTCAGATAGATAGCAGCTTTAATATTATTGAGGCTCGTGGCCAACAGACAGAGAAATTGTTGCACAAAGCAGTTTTTCTATCAAAGACAAGGATGCACGAAGATATTTTGTTGTCTGAGGAAATAGACTGGAGTAAGCTGTATCATCTGTTGCCTCAGGCTCCAAAAAGTCTTGGTGCATCATTGACAGTGCACAAGAACTGCTTTCTGTTGACTAGCAGTGTCAATAATATTAAATATTGTATTGTTGCAGGCTTTCATGGCCGGAATCACTCGGTTACTGTAGGTTTTTTGGGCTGAATGGCCATGCTCCAGAAGCATTCTCTCCTGACATTTCACCTGCAACTATGGCAGGCATCCTCAGAGGTTGTGAGGTCACAACCTCTGAGGTTGCTTGCCATAGATGCAGGCAAAACATCAGGAGAGAATGCTTCTGGAACATGGCCATACAGCCCAAAAAACTTACAGCAACCATATTAAATACACTGCCTGTTGTCTAATGCCCAGTAGCACAGGCTGAACATCAAATATTTTGTACTGAAAGGCAAGTTCTAAATCTATTATCAAAGAGGGAGACATGGCCTTTGATTCCCTCTCTTATGACTATAAGATTTTCTTGCTTTTCTAGGATCAATGAGGGAAGAAAGCAGTGTGCTAAGAGAAAGTATGGGAAAGACTGTGAATCTGAAAGACCCACCCATTTTCTAGTTGTTGCACATGCCCCCAAATTGCCAGTGATCATCACATCAGATAGTAAATGCTAGATCTGGCATATGTTAATTCCCTCCCTCTAAAACAAGAAAACGTGCTTGGGGACAAGGAACAAACTCCCCCTGCTCCCTCATGCCCATCTGTTATCATGATCCCAGAAGTGTTTTGAAGGCTCCAGTTTCAGGATTCTCAAAAATAAACTTAGGATTACCCTTCTCTTACATGGACAATTGAACAGAGAGAATGACTTACTCTGTCTGTTTGGTGTAAAGGTGATATTCACCCATTTTGAGTATTCATTCTCAAATTCAGTTCTGACTTGTATAGTGGAAGGACCATATACAGGTATATTTGACACATTACACTTTGTGAAGACAATTCTTCGGCACATATCACTGAACACATCACTAAACTTTCTGTAAAAGAAAGAATATCATTAACATGCTGTCTGAAAAAAATAAAAAGTCCCCTCTCTCACTTTAGCCAATAAATCACAGTGTTCATTTTATGAATAATGCAGGGCTATTACACATGAAAAACCTCATCTGGAAGAACCCAAAATTATGTACAGTATGGCCAATGGAAGGGGACTTGCCCTGGTGACAAAATAGTATGATAAAGCAGATTAAATAGCAAGCAAGATGAGTCACATGTTGCAAGTACAATGGAATATGCTGTTGTAAGCCATTCTTCCAGCAAGGCATCTTGACTAGTAGCTTTCATTTTGGCTGAAATGATTGCATGCATGGCTCCAACTTCTAGACCAGTGGTTCTCAACCTGTGGGTCCCCAGATGTTTTGGTCTTCAACTCCCAGAAATCCTAACAGCTGGTAAACTGGCTGGGATTTCTGGGAATTGTAGGCCAAAACATGGGGACCCACAGGTTGAGAACCACTGTTCTAAACCAATGGCTTAGGACAGTGGCTCCCAACCTTTTTTTGACCAGAGACCACTTGACCAGGGACCACTTTGAGCAGGGACCACTCTCAACATTAGTACCAAAAGGGTTACGAATCAGTTTTTGTTCGACTTTAGATTGGGTTTGGTGATTTGGGGTGCCGATTCAGAAAATTGCATTGGACAGAGTAATCAGCTCTAGTTTCTGATACAGAATACACACCATCCAGTAGTCACCATCTGCTCACCCACAGAAAACCATATTCAATAATCTAGAGCTGATGTGGTGGTAGTAATCTTTTGTGGGTAGTCAGCTTCTCCCGTCCCGACATTCATGTTGCTTCGGCACTATAAGAGGGTTTTGCGAGACCAGTCGCTCTCGTTGTCACATGTTTTTGAGGTAATGGTATAGTAACGGTAAGGCCGTGGACCATATTTTCGTTCTTGCAGACCACAGTTTGGGAACCTCTGATGGTCCACGGACCACAGTTTGGGAACCACTGGCTTAGTAGGATGACCAGCAAAGGACAATTGGCCCTTTCTTGAGTTTTTTTCTCCTTTCTACTTGGATTCCTCTGAAGTTTTTACATGCCAGTCATCTTAACTAAATAACCACACAAGCAGCGGCACGGCCCTTACCCTTTCCTAATGCAGTTTACACAAACATTTCAAATCATAATTGTGGAGAAAAGTATCAAGAGGTTCCCATTTCTCTTAGGCAAGGATCTATTTTTGCCACTTAACCTCAACATGCATTTCCCCACTCATTTGCTATAAAGAAGAGGTGCCAATCATGTGATCTCCAGATATTGTTAGGTTGCAGCTCCCAGCAGCCTTCTCAGCAGAGCCAAAGGTGTGGAAGGTTAGGAGCAGTAGCCCAACAACAATTGGTCCATATTTTGCTCTGACTCCTATAAAGCAAGTGCACATTTCTTTTAACAAAAGGATATAAAAGTGTGCCTTTAGTGAAAAATATGAATGAAAGAAATTAACACTGATCTTAGAGCCTGTGACAGGGATAGCACTTTTAATCTTGTACCCATTACTCTGACCCGACCCAGTTTTATAGTGTCTTGATGTATTGTTTATTGTTTGTTGTTCATACTGCTTAACTGTTTTTAATTTGCTTTAGGTATTGTATTGTTGTATTGTGTTTTGAGGCCTTGGCCTATGTAAGCCGCATTGAGTCCTTCGGGAGATGCTAGCGGGGTACAAATAAAGTTATAATAATAATAATAATAATAATAATAATAATAATAATAATAATAATAATATAATAATAATAATAATAATAATAATAATAATAATAATAGCAAATGCAAAGATATTGCATGGAGAAAAGGGGTAAGTAAGGTGAAGCTACTCTTCTTTCCAATCCAGAGACTATATTTATCTTAGAAGAAAAACATGAAGGGCACTCCCAAAAGGAAATCTGTTCTGTTTGTTATTTGTTCTATATGCCATGGTGCAGTGAACTCAGTTTTGTATTTATTCATTGTTTAAAATTGTTTTGAAGTCAGATCAGCTATTGTGACTATATGCCGACAATGAATGCCTGTAACATCTGTCATGTCACATAAACTTCCTGTCATAACTCTAACTACATTATTCACATTCAAATGAATGGGAAGACGAGTCAAATGAAAAATTCTTTAATTCATTCTTTAATTTGTAAATTGATTGCCCAATTATGTATTGATATCTCACCTTTCTCCTTAGGATGGGTTGCAGGGTAAGCTTACAACAAATTAAAACATATTAAAACACCTGCTAAAGTTTTAAAATATTTTAAACAACCATTAAAACACTTTTAAAAACCATTAAACTTACAAAAATGTTAAAACAGCCGCACCTTCATTTATATTTAGCTCCTCACTGGAGTCCTGAGTGCATAAAAAAGGTCTTGCCTACAGAAGTGGTTCTCAACCTGTGGGTCCCCAGGTGTTTTGGCCTACAGCTCCCAGAAATCCCAACCAGTTTACCAGCTGTTAGGATTTCTGGGAGTTGAAGGCCACAACATCTGGGGACCCAGAGATTGAGAACCACTGGCCTACAGTCTAATTTTCCTGAAAGGGGCATTCCACACACTAGGCGCAGCAACCAAGAAGTCCCTGTTCCATCTCCCCATCAAATGTACCTCTGAAGGTGTGCCTCTTTTCTATGGAAAAAGAGGTACAATAGTGCAACTGTCCCGTGTCTACCCTTATAATAGATATTATTAAAATTATTAGCCTTCATTGTAACACTTACGTTTTGTATTGAACAGTGTAAACCAGGTTTTCCTTGTGAAAATCAGGTGGATCCCACTTTAGAACACTATCCAACATGACAGAATGAAGGTGTACATTTTGAGGCTCTGGCACCATTCCATATGCTGCAATACATAAACAAAATACACTGTTTGACTTAAGTAACATTAGAATTCTATAATTTATCAGGAAAAATCACACACACGCACACACTTTTAAATGTGTTTAATATGTCAATATAGTTATTTCCTTTCATGGACATGCCAAGTTCTTCACACTGCATAAAAAAGAGGGTTGGAACTTTAATAGTGGCAACACTGCTGTAAAGAGGCCATGCAATGAAACCAAAGAACAACACTTACTTGTGACAACACTTACTTTAGACCACAAGCTAATACAAGGCTCAGTTCTTCACATCACTCCACACTAGTGTGACATAGGAAGGGCAAGTCTTTTTGCTCCGAGGTAAGGTAGGTATGTAACTAACGCGTGGTATGCATGACATTCTTTGGTTTTGTTGTGTGGTGTCTTTACAGCAGTGTTGCCACTATTAAAGTTCCAACCCTGTACTCATAACATGTGTTTCGTGCTATGTTGGTTTATCATAGCAGAGCACCAGATGAACCAACCTGGACACAACATATTATTTGATAACATAGAAGTGTTAGACCACTCTAACAACTGCCATGTCAGAGAAGCCATTGAAATTCACATGCATGTGGACCATTTCAACAGAAAGGAGAAAACCATGAAAATAAACAAAATCTGGCTATCAGTATTTAAAAAAACTCTAAAATCAGAACAGTAAATAAAGAGCAACACTCAAAAAATGGAAATTCCAGACAAGAATCAATCAAGGCCAGCTAACACCTCCGAACAAAGAATCCCCCAGGCAGTAACCAGCCAAGCTTTGAAGCTGCAAGGCCATTCAATGCTAATCAAAGTGGCCAATAGCAACATTCACACTTGCCTCAAACAGACAAGAGTTTTTTCCCCCACCCTGGATAATTACAAATTTCTAAATCTCACTTGCCTAGTTTCCCACAGACCTCAACCTCTGAGGATGCCTGCCATAGTTGCAGGTAAAATGTCAGGAGAGAATGCTTCTGGAATATGGCTATTGTTGCACTCCAGGACAAAGAAAGTCCTCTGACTTTCAACACCACACATTGAATAAAAAAACAATCCTTTTATTAGAGATAATTAAAAAGCAGCAAAGTAAAAACACTTTAAAGGAATAGGTAAATCCAATTAGATAAGAAGATAAGCAGGAACAAAATAGTCCAGGGTAAAGTTCAGCAAAGTCCATGAAAACAAAGTCCATACTTCTCTAATATAATAAAAAACAAACAAACAGGAAACATTAATCCAAGGCATGGGTATGCAGTCATAAAATCCAAAAATTAAAAACCATGAAACAAGAAGTACTTAAGCATGAATCTTCTAAGCTAGGCTTCCATGAAACATGGACGAGAACTTGATTCCAAATGATGCTTCATCTGGCTACATTTCTCGTATTTGAGACTTTTATCCCCTCGTTAAGCTATCCCCAGAACTTAGAAATTGGTCTTGCTTTAGTTGAGATTCCCTTATCTTTTTCTGTTGAACCTGGCAGAACGCTGAAGCCACTGTTCGGCTTGTCTGTTTTGACTAATCTTCTGCCATCTATCTATTTGCTCATTAGCTTTTGCAGCTGGGCCAGATGCTGAGTTGTTTATGAAAACACTCATCGATTTTGGGAATTATAATGCAAGAGGACTCATCAAAACCTTACAATGTTCTTCAGCATTAGCTACACAGGATAGGTGTCAAGGCACTGAATGTTTGCCTGTGTTTGTGTTTGTATATATGCTGTAATCCGCTCTGGGTCCCCTCAGGGAGATAGGATGGAATATAAATAAAGTGTTATTATTATATATTATTATATAATTCTTTACATCCATGAGATGCAAGAGTTAAATAAAATTTCTTTTCCAGTCCTTTGGGCTGAACTGTTGTTTGTTTTGTCAAGTTCAGATACTTTTCCAAGGTCTGAGTCGGATGCAGAATTTTTCATTTTTAAAGTAGAGCCAATAGGTCTTACATTAGTATTGTTTGGCAGTCAGAGTAACCTTCAAAAATTATTAGGCAGATCAATGGTTGAGTTAACATTAATGAGGAAGTTCTAATTTTCACTAAAGGTCTGAATTAAAATAACACATTCTCTCTGTTTATTGGTTTAGCTAGAACGACAATAGAGTTGTTAGAAAGTGTTTTGTGAATGTTTGCTGAATCAGAAACTATCAGTTCTTTCTTCATTTAATTGCCCCCCTGATCTCATCATCTTAACAATTCTACCCCAACTGTATGCTTGATATACAGTACCTATACACATAGATATTACTAATTATATCCAAAATTCTGAATAATCTGTTGAAATGAGCTATCGTGCCTGAAGATTTATGCTAGGAAAACAATATGTGATATGTATTTATAGTGTAATTCAATATTTAAGCATGGTGATTGATTGAGATACTAATTTACCTGTATCGACAAAAATAAAAAAAATAAAAAATTGCTGCAATCAGTTTTTTAAATACCAAAAGAGGCACTTGTTATTTTTGCGGTAACATCTCAATGCAATTGCCCAAATTGTGTTTTTTTAAAATGAAGACCTATTGAAACCAATTGGTTTTCTGTTAGTCATGAATAACCTACAATTTACCGTAAGATTGGATCCACATTCAGAGTAACTAAATGCATTAAAAATTTGGATCAAAACCTAGATTTTGTTCTTTATAGTTTTCAGTCATTGTTTATCAGCACTTCATTGCAACTTTGTTTGGTTGCATGCTGTATGTCATTTCTGGTGTGAGAGAATGAGCCATCTACAAAGATGTTTCATAGGGGACGCCCAGATGTGTTACGATCCTGCAGGGAGGCTTCTCTCATGTCCCTGGGAATTACAACCAGACACTGTAAAGACATCTGCCCTTGCGCTTTGCTACTCTGCTGAATATGCATGACCAGTGTGGAATATATTGCTCTACACCACTGGAGAAATTATACTGATTAGCCAGTATTGCATCACCTGACATCTATCGGGAAGTAGCAGCCTGTAATGAAAGGATAAGGCAGTGACATCTCCGGCCCATCCTCTGTTTGGATATCAGCCAGCATGCTAATGCTTTAAATCAGGAAACAGCTTTCTAAGATCTACAGAGATACTTGCAGGAACACCTCAGCAAGCAAGAGTCCAAAAGTGGCAGGCTAAAACCCGGAACCTCAATCTATGGCTGATACTGGATGAAAGACTCCCTCCAGGCACATAGAAGACTGGGCATCTTGGAGGGTGTTGAAACACACTTGCTCTGGCACCACGCGGTGAAGAGCCAATCTTCAGAAATGGGGCTACAAAGTGGAGTGCACAACATGCAAGTATGGATAAGAGCAAACCACAGACCACCTACTACAATGCACCCTGAGCCCTGCTATGTACACAATGGAGGACCTCCTTACAGAGACAGCAGAGGCACTCCAAGTGGCCAGCTTCTGGTCAAAGGACATTTACCACAATGCCAAGTTTTTTTTACTTTGCTTATGTTTTTAAATACATTATAACTGTACCCTCAATTCACTTCTGATATGATAAATTTCCAATCCTGAAAAATGCCACAACAAAGATACTGTGAATCACACCGGAAAATTCTATTAATCTCATGAGCCTGTGAGAGTTTCCCTTTCCAGTTCTGTTTTTGGAGATATATATATATATATATATATATATATATATATATATATATATATATCCCTCTTAGCTACTGCAAAACTGAAACAAGAAAGTGTTTCATTATTTTTATAGTGCAGCCAAATGTTCTTTAGCATTATTTGTTTTCAATTTGAGGAAAGCAAACTCACTCAGTACTTGAATTTTCCAAGCCAGTTTCATCTTGTCTTTCCAAGCTATCTGCTCAGAACTATTAAGTGTAGTATAATCAAGAAGAGTAAACAAATGAGTAATTTCTGGTTATTGAGAAAAATATTGGGACACCAGATGTACACACTGCCCATAATCTAGTTGTTGAATAACTTAAGAACACATTTATTTTTACATAATAATATACTTTGGATCATGTCCAATTAGACTACCTTCCAAGCACAAAACTTGGAAGGTAGTCTAATTGAGAATTAATTAACATAGATTATAGAGATCACACAACTCCATTTGAGAATTAGTTAACATGGATTATAGAGATCACACCACTTCCTTTCTCCAACAGACAAATTGCCTGACTTTTTTGTTTCTAGAGACAATGCAAAGTGATGCCATTTTGGAGACATCTGATTTTTCTGGATTTCAGCTCTCAGAATTCGGCAGGCAGAACAACTATGTATTGATGAAAGTTCAAGAAGACAATGTTAAAGGAAGGTACAGCTAAATATTAAGGAAACAAATGTTCACAGAAGAGTTACACAATGATGACAAAGACATTTAAGTAGTGTAAGATATTTTATACCTTGACTTAGTCATCAATAAGAACAGAGATTGCAGTCAAGAAATCAGAAGAAAGCTAAGCCCTGGAAGGGCAATTACCAAGTGCAAAGATGAAAAATTAAATATGAAACACAGGATCATCCATGGTACGGGGCCGTGGTAGCAAGCTGGTTAAACCATTAGCTGCAGGAAATCTGCTGACTGGAGGGTCAGCAGTTTGAAGCCGCAAGTCAGGGCGAGCTCCTGGCTGTCAGCCCTAGCTTCTGCATACCTAGTAGTTCTAAATTTATTTATTTATTTATTTACTATGCTTATATACCGCTGTATCTCAAGCCCGAGGGCGACTCACAGCGGTTCACAAACAGTAAAGACAATAAAACCAGCAATGGTTCAATACAACAATGACAATTAATTTACACATTTTCCATTAATAACTAATAAGCAATCCCAATACACAGTTATTACAAAAACCCCATCCCCAATCGCCTCATCATCCATGCATGATGCAAGTTCGTTGTCCATTGTTCCATTCCTATGTTCAATTACCAGATTGCACTAAATTACTCAAACGCCTGCACAAACATCCAGGTCTTCAACTTCCTACGGAATGCCATGAGAGATGGTGCCAGCCTAATGTCCGTAGGAAGGGCG